ACTAAATTTGGTTGCTGAGAAGTTTGGACTTATTTTCATGTTCAAGAAGTGAGTTTGCAAAAGTGACATTAATTAATAGAATCAGGCGTTACTTTGCGGAAATCCATTATATAAAAGCTTTTACAAAAATTTACTTCGCAAATATCCGCGTTATAAAATAAAATGATGTGTCTTACCTAGTATGAAGAAGCACCTCCCGCCCTCCCTCAATTGCGTGCACTAACCCCGTCACCACCAATCCCAGCACCGCTACTCCCAACACCACTACACTAGGCAAGACACACCACTGACGATAATACGACACGTGTTTCGCCTCTACACGAGGCATCCTCAGGTGATATAGACTCTACGGTAAATTTTATCGAAAGCCAACTCACACCGACACGGTCATCCCCGCGTCATCATGTCATCCATGGCAACATAAAGTAGCCGCTTTTTATTGTTACATTAACCGGTTGTTCACTGTCCCATTAAGTAAAGAAAATTATTTAAAAGAACTTAATATAATTTATCAAATAGCGGTCTCTAACGGTTTTTCAAAAAATCTCATTAACAATTTAATTAAAAAGAAACAAAAGCATGTTATTCGCAACTCTCTGTACGCGGTTCAACCTCAAAGTGTTCATAGATATGTGAGCAGTTTGACCTACTTAGGCCCCATATCTGAAAAAGTAGCTAATACTCTTCGACAAAACGGCGTTTATGTGGCGTTTAAAACAAACAATTCTCTTAGAAATATCTGTAATAGTAAAGATAAGTTGGATATTCGTCAAAAGTCAGGTGTTTACAAACTTGTTTGTGACGAATGCCACGCCGTTTACGTGGGTCAGACTGGTCGCAATTTCGAGACACGTTATAAAGAGCATTTAGCCGCGTACAGGAATTGCAATCCCGATAAATCCCATTTTGCCAAACATCTTTTGGACACTGGACACAACCTAGCCAACGACCACTCCTTTAAAGTCTTACATACGTGTAATAAAGGGCTGCGGCTGTGTGTGCTGGAACAGTTAGAGATATTAAAAAGTAATAATAATACCGTTGCATTGCTGAATGAACAAACAAATGTTACTAACTCACCTCTCTTAAATATCTTCAAGCCTGCTCTCTAATAATGTGGGCGTTGCGCGGCGGTTTGTTTTTAATTTTACAAACGGCTGCGTAAGTCCAGCGGTGATTGGTCGCATGTTTTATCGCATGACGCAGTCGCTCGCTTCTTAGGTAGAGAGCGGTTGCGTCATCGGTTTGTATAAAAGGCAGTTGTTTTGGCTCGCCGCTCACTTAGCGGTTAGCCACCGTAGAGTCTATATCACCTGAGGATGCCTCGTGTAGAGGCGAAACACGTGTCGTATTATCGTCAGTGGTGTGTCTTGCCTAGTGTAGTGGTGTTGGGAGTAGCGGTGCTGGGATTGGTGGTGACGGGGTTAGTGCACGCAATTGAGGGAGGGCGGGAGGTGCTTCTTCATACTAGGTAAGACACATCATTTTATTTTATAACGCGGATATTTGCGAAGTAAATTTTTGTAAAAGCTTTTATATAATGGATTTCCGCAAAGTAACGCCTGATTCTATTAATTAATGTCACTTTTGCAAACTCACTTCTTGAACATGAAAATAAGTCCAAACTTCTCAGCAACCAAATTTAGTATGTGTATCGTTCGCGTGAGGGGGGTGTTGCGTACCAGTTTAATCGAACATGCTCGGGCGCTGTCGCCGCTGTACATATCTATCAGGCACGCGTAAGCCTATCCATTGCAGCACACCCGGGTTGCTAATGTAACCACGGAACACCTTTAAAATGTAGGTTACCAGCGCTAGATCCCTCCTAGTTTCCAACTTGTTGTATCCAACCATGCCCAAAACAAACAAGGTTGGGTACATCAAGGGATAGAAGGGATAAACCCCATAAAGCTTATGATATACAAATCGCGTGAATTTATTCTGAATGTGTTCTAGCATAAGACTGTATTTATTTTCATGTGGAGCCCATATTGCCGAGTTACACTCCAGTTGACTCCTTACTAGAGCATCATACAGCACTGAGATGGCTTTTATGTTGGTAAAATTTACTGCTCTGCGAAGGATAAATCCTAGTCGTTTATAAGATTTCTTACATATGTTCAAGATGTGCTCCCGGAATGTCAATTTGGCATCCATCTGTACACCAAGATCCCGGACTGATTCCTCCCTCTTCATTAGCTCGCCATCCACCTTATAGTTGTAATGGAGTGGTGCCCTTGATCGACTAAATGATAGAATAGAGCATTTTGAAATATTAAACTGCAGCTTATTTTTGTGACTCCATTCTACTACTTGGTCGATATCTTGCTGAAGGTGGCTACAATCATCCTCACTTTTGATGGCTAAAAGCAATTTTAGGTCGTCTGCAAATAATAGACACTTAGCCTCTCTTACTACTTCTGGTAAATCATTAATCATTATGTTGAACTTTAACGGACCTAAATTACTGTCTTAGCTCACACCAGATCTAGTAAAGTAAGGCTCCGACCGGTACCCACCGTACTCCACATACTGTTTTCTATCTTTCATGTAACTCGCAAAAAAATGAAGCAGTTTAGGTGTGCAGCCAATTTTCGCCATCTTTGACAATAGGATATCGTTATCTACCAAGTCGAACGCCTTTCTGAAATCAAAGTAGGCGGCATCTACCTGCAAACCTGCATCGACATGAGGAACTAAATAAGTCATGGCATTTAAGAGGTTACTGGTTGTGCTCCTCTCTGTCCGGAAGCCGTGTTGGGCGTCTGATAACTGCGGTGCAACTTGTTCCCGTACACTTCGCTGGATGGCTCCCTCAAACACCTTCGCAGGTGTTGAGAGAATCGCCACTGGTCTGAAGGATTCAATCGTAGATTTGTTACCCCCCTTAGGTATCGGAATAACACGCGTGATTTTCCAACTTTTTGGAAAATATGAATTCTTTAGACATAAGTTGAAAATGTGTAACAACGGTTCCGCTAGCACTGAGCGGCAGTCTCTCATCACAAAGGCCGGTATACCGTCCGGGCCCGCCGAGCGTTTTGGTTTGAGCCGGGCAAGCGCCGCGCGCACCTCGCCGAGCTGTAGCTGCGGCACGTGCACGCGCGCGCTGCCCGCGCCGCCAGCCGCCACCGCCTCGCCTACGTCCAGACGTGCTGGCTCGCTGTTGTATACTGAGTAGAAGTATTTGGCAAATTCAGTCGTACTTTCTTGATCTGACAATGCTACTCCATCTTTCAATATTTGTTTACGTTTAACTGCCCCTTTTTTGCCCTAATATGATCCCAAAAAGACTTAGGATCCTTTGCCAAGTTACTTTGCACACGATTCTGATAGTTTAGGTATGCGCTATCAATACTTTTCTTAATTCGCGCCCTGCAAGTAGAAAAAGCTTCGTAATCAGCACGAGATCCGGTCGATTTATATCGCTTGTGAAGCTTAGCCTTTAATTTTATATCCCTAATTAAATCACTAGTATACCACTCGGGGTAATGTCTTTGATCTACTTTCATTTTCCGCTTTTTCGGTACACAATTATCTAAAACACCGTAAAAAACACTATAAAAAGACTCCAAAGCTTCCTCTGGTTCCTGTGTCTCGGTAATCAAACTCCAATCAGCGGAAGCTAATAAAGAATAAAATAAGTAAAAATCAGCTTTATAAAAATTCCATTGTGGTTCAATTTGGCTTGCTGATGTTTCACTGTCTAAAGCAATGGGCTCGGCCGTCACAGGCGGCAACGGCTGTTAGAATACTCTGTGACTGTAGGCCCTGAATAGTAATGTTATGAACTCAGGGCCAATCTATTAATGCTTTAAACAGCTTAAAAAGGTAGGTAAAACAAATAAAATTACCCTTCATTGGATAAAGTGTCATAATGGTTCTAGAAGCAATGATGCCGCCGAAAAGCTCAGCAAGTAGGACAGTTGGAACAGACCCCATTACCCCACTCTTATTTGATTTTGTAAAGCCACAGGGCCGCACAATGAATCTGTACGCCAAATCTTCATCAAATATAGAATGCATGCAAGCAAAATTACTGCTTCGTTTGAACAAATCGTAAATTCGTACTATTACAAGTGGTCTAACTAGGCATGGATCGTTTCTCGTGGTAAATTCGTGTCACAGACAGTCCTCTGTGTATAGACGGCCGCCCATGTCTTACTGGAGTGCACGGCGGGCGCCTGCTTCAGTGCTAAGTATCTCGGCGCACCTAAGATCATCATCAGACATCACTTATTTTTTCGAGGAGCTCAGGTTAATTCTTGTTCACACTCAAAGTACGCGTTTACTAGTGGAATTGCGCAAACCAACTCGTATAACACAAACACTAATACTAACGATCTATAAATATCTATAATATGTAGTAAACTTATATTGATATGACGTTATACAGCATAACACGTTTACTATATTTTAGATAGCGTTTAGCAGTATCAATTTTTAAACTTTTTTTGGATTTATGTACTGTTTTTATGTGAAGTTGTAAGACCTGTAATCTGTTGACGAACAAGACGCTTTCAACTATGTCATTTTCAAAATACGACTAGTAGTTTAGGAGATCCGAGGAATCACATAACAATCAAACGTATATACATACATAGGCTACTAAAATCATAACCTTCCTTTTCGCTTTGCTGTAGTCGGGTAAAGTTTTAACTTCAACAAAGATCATAAATATTAAGGAAAATTAGTTTCATATTCTTCTTCACTTTCTTGTGAAAAAATAAATAGGATTATATTATACACTAGTTCGCCAGGCAGACGTTGTTCTGCTAAAAAACGAAGATAAAAATCCTTAAATTCGCAATAAAAAATTTTGAGGGTCATTAATCTGGATAAAAACTATCCTATCTCTCAAGTGGGACCAAAATGAACACAGTGTGCAAAATTTCATTGAAATCAGTTCAGTAGTTTAGGAGTCCGTCGCGGACAAACAACGTGACACGTAATTTTTATATATAAAGACTATAAATAACTAGAGAATGTTAAATACCAACCTGCTAACATCTGCAATGCGACCGGCGAAAATACATGACTCTTATCTTCACTTTCAAGTACAGACACGAATATATCTATAATTTGTTGTTTTGTGTAAGGTGCGAAGTGAAGTGTTAGAGGACGGAAGGAACACCGTGCTTGCAAACGCGGCAGAGTTCGCTCTGTCAGATCCAAAGCATTTGCGATTCCAATCAAGACAATGCGTGAACTTAATAATGCAGGCCATTCGAATATTGTGTATAAAACTGATTGTCGCTTACTGTCCAGCTGATCGATCTCATCCAATACAAGTAATCTGGAAGATGATTGAAGCCATACATGTAGAAACGAACATGATATGATGATGAAAGTAGTAGAATGTTACATTGATGATAGATACAGTATGAGCTATAGACAAATAAAACATAGTGTATAGTTTACTTTTTGGTATAAAACAGGACTTCCTATTTTATTACTATTCTCTCTCTATGTATTAGAAAGAACGGAGGAAAAGACGTAAGACGTACTATTACGTGTGTTACTGAGCAAATTGTTTAACTTAATGAATATCAAATATATAAGTATATTGAGTGAAAACGACATTTATTTGAAGACCCATTCCAGTATACATAGGCATCGTTTTGTGCGACAATGTGTGCGAATGGATAAAATGTAATATTAAATTATTTAACAAGTTTGGCTGGATACCAAGCTAATGTTATACTATTTTGGAGTGTTACAAGTCAGCGGGTCTTCATAAAATGTTTACTAATATATTTAACCACTACTCTAGTGACAATACATATTAATGCCATTTTTTAACAATACATATTTTACCAAACAGAATTCAAATTTATGTAGATAATCATACAATGTGTGAACATAACATGCACATAATATTTATTTATACAAGCTTAAAAGTTATAACAGTAATTTAAAAAACCCGACTGCATAAAAAAGTACCCACTGAAAAGACAAAAAAATTATACCCTATTGCTCGAATACTAAACAGTCAATTTTAAGATGCAGTTAAGTCTCGTGCTGACTCTATCACTTTAAGTCAGTGACTGAGACACCATGATACTTAACACCATCTTCAAATTGAGTAGCGTTTGAGTATATGGCCTTTAGTCACTTCCACAACTAAGACGAATCTAACGACACTCCATAAATTCCATCAAGCCCCTTAGGCTACAGAGCATGCCAAAGAAGCAGACACACATACATACCCACGAAAAACATTACCATCCCTCTGGGTGAATTGACATCATAATTCTTTTGTAGTGAAATTGCATCACTTGGTAAAAATGATAGCAATGTCTATACATACACGCTATCATTTTTACCATCGTACGGTTTACGGACGTATAAATAAGGCGGACAGAATTTTGTTAAGAAAGGACTGATGTAGTGATGTGAAAAAAGAATCGATTTTTATATTAATCGATTATTTTTTTCTAATAATCGATTTTTCGAAGTCGATTTTTTTTTATAATAAAAATCGATTTTTAAGAAATCGATTTTTATGTAAATTACGCGTATCAATCGATTTTTGTAATCAGAGTCATCTGTGCGATGGATGTAAAAACGTGAAGTAAGTTCAATAACATGAATAATGCTCGGTTTCTGAGGTACTTTTATCGGCAGTTTATCTATTCGTTAGCGCTATTGGTTCGATAACTTGTGAAGGTGCGTTTCCGAACATCGCAATGTAAGATAAACTCCGTTTCAGCTAAGTTTAATTTAACTGGCCAATATATGTCGTTTATCGGTTCTATAACTTTATTTGACGTTTAATTTCAAGCAAACTACATCATATTTTAGGTTGTAACATGTTATTATTAAAATAAATTGCCAGTGGGCGCTAAATACTAATATATTCAAGGGATAAAATAATTATTAACAGAAGTGCAATGAATACGAGTATTCTTCTCTCTTTCAGAAAAAAATTTACTACGTTTTCCAGATTCCATAATGTTTTGGATAATGTAAAAACGATAGTAAATACCACTAAACTTAAAATCAGAAAGTTAACCACTTTCGAATAAAAGCAGAGTTTGATGTTTTCTTTTTTAACAATTCGACAATACAATGATGTCATTCATACAGTTTCTGATAAATATGAAATTATCATATTTTATTACTAAAACAGTGCATATCCACTTATTTAGCCTCAAAAAAATATATTTTATAAATAATACTAGTATAAATGAAGAATTGAAATTAAAAAATCAATTTTAGACTCGATATCTTAAACAGACCCATCTAGCGGCAAATTATGGTACTTGTTAATGGTTTCATAGTTGTTGAACGATTCGTTGCGTATTCAGAAACGCAGTGACAGTTAACCGACGTTTATCCTATAGATAACTTTATTGAATCAATAGCTAATGGGAAGATAACTAGGAACTTCAGAAACCGGGCATTAGTCAATCAAAAGACGGCACCACCTTTATGTATCTCTATGTATGTAAAACAGTTTCGCTTTTCGTATGTTTTCAACAGGTTTCTTCCTCCGCTAGGAGTAAAAGTAGTCTGTGGTTTTCTTTCTTTCTTTGGTTAGTGTAAACAATTATATATAAACAATAAAAATGTCTTGTGAAACGCGTAAAAGTGACTGACAGAAGTATTTTATAATAAAAAATGATAGCGGCCAACACGTCAATAGGCAAAAATACTGAATTGGATCTATATATTGCGGCACCACTATCAAATCTCAAGGCAGATGCCCTCAATATATGAAGAAGCTCTGAAGGAACTTTCCCTAAATTAACCGAATTGGCTTTTAAACACCCCTCAGTGATGGCCAGTTCCGCGCCAGCCGAAAGATTATTTTTGAAAGCGGGAAATATTGTCAGGAAAAAACGAAACCGTATTTTGGGAAAGAGACGAAGAAGAATTTTGGTGAAATGATTGTTTTTAAAGTCTTTAACTGGAAATTCATGGCAATATTTTTTTTCCTTTTTTTGTTTACACAAGTTTAAAAAAAGATTTGTCTTGTATTTTAGTTTTGAGATCAAAAGGTTGTCGTCGGATTATTTATAATTATATTTTTATTTTATTTTCATTCTAATCCAATGTAAATGATACTGAACATTAGTGGCATAATGATATTTAGACTTTTTGTTTGTTGAAACTTAGTTTAAAAAAAACTATCGTTTACTAAAATTATGGTTTCTTAATGATTTCTTATATTTACGCGAAGATTCTTATTTTTACGGATTTGATCACGCTTAATTTAACTTTTTAATTCCTGACGTTTCGGGTGCTGCACCCATGGTCACGGGGGGAACTGAGGTCTTTGACGTCCAGATGTCATAGTTAGCCTGGCTCAATTCAGTTTTTGAATATTAATTTTTGGTCCGATCTACGCAGAATGAGCTTACAGTATCTTGAAGTCTTACAGTGGTATGCTTGGGTTTGGATTTAATTTTATTAATTATAGGATGCCAAGCAGATGGCAGCACCCATCCATCTTCTCTATTGAAATTAGGATGTTTTTTAATTTCGATAGCCTCGCGAATCATCCTTGGTAGGAATCGGTGTTCTTTTGCGAGGATTTGTGGTTCAACTATGACATAGGGACGTCAAACACCTCAGTCCCCTCTGTGACCATGCGTGCTGTAAAGCACCTGAAATGTCGGGAATTAAAAAATTAAATTAAATGCGATAAAATCCGTAAAACTTAGTTTAATTTATAGTTTCTGTTTATTTTGGTTGTAATAAATTGTTAAATGGCACTGAACATTTGTGGCAGTAATTATTTTTAGTTTTTTATTGTTCAAAGTTATATGTTAAAAAAATTGTTCTGTAGTTTATTTCTAAAATCAGAAGATTATTTTTCGAATAACATATTTTGTTTTCGCAAAAATCGATTATTTTTTTATAAAAAAATCGATTTGTCTTAAATCGATTATTATCACAAAGCAAAAAATCGATTTTTTATTAATCGATTTTTTTCACTAAATGTCACATCCGTACGTTTGTTGCGTAATGGCGGGTGCTAGACTTATTATTAGTGTGAATGTGTGCGTGTTCCCTTAACGTACAAGCGAGCTGACTTATTTTGGGTGCCTCACTGAGTTGTATAGCGAGATTCAGTCCGCCTTTTTTTATACATCCATGTCTATATTACACATATGTTTTTTAGATTTATCTTATTTTTTTTAAGCTGATTCCTATAATAGTTTTATACAATAATTATTGTGCACATTATATTTATATGTTACTATACTCATTTTATTATTATGTATATATTAAATTTTTGATCAGTTAAAAACTTTAAAAAATGGTTATTTTTCAAAAATGTCCTATATGCAAATGATATTTGCCAAAATAAGCCTTTAAGAGCTATCAGTAATTTTCGTTTGTTGCAGTAAACTTATATGTAGTATCAATTATATGTAGTTTTTGTTCCTACTTCTCTCCCTTTTTTTGACATACATATTGTGAAATAAACACATTTTACATTGTTAAAACAGTTGAAGTTAAAAGGAGTATACATACATCATTTTATGTTTCTTTTTTAAATATTTTTCTATGGCACAGAGACATGCTTTTTCTGTTGATCCCGATGTCCGTAATTGCAACTCTTTGCAAATCCTACTATAAATACTGGTCGCAGATTTCACCATTGTACAATTAACATAAACTTGTTTGAAACCATTTTTTATCTGGAATATAAATGGGAGAGAATTATTCATATGAACATTATTAATCAATATGAAATTGGAACTGCTTGTTAGCAATAAACATGTATATCACCTTTGGTAAATGTAAAATGTATGTTAAGCTTGCAGTCTTCCCAGTACCAGGTTGGCCAGAGATGTATAAAGATGCAGACTCTTCAGAATCGAGATGGTCCATTAAAAAATTCTCTAGCCATGTTATTTCCTTTTCTCTACTTACTAAAGGTTTGAATGAATTACTTACAATGGTATTCCTGTAAAAAGAAGTTTATAACTTACGTTCATATTATTACTTCAAAGTAAGCTTATATATATGGAGCATCCATTCATATAGAACTTGTAAAATTACTTAACAAATAATACACAACTATGTACTGTGTACTGCATAATATCAGTTTAAAATATTGAACATCTAATCTAAATTATTAGACATCAATATATAGCATGTTAACAACAAAATTACGTAATTTTCAATTAACGCAATGTGTCGGCACAGTAAACGCCTGCGCCTGAGTTACTGACTTAAGACAAGGAATTTTACTAAGTTACCCATGTGTAACATTAATGGGTCGGTTTAACTGGGGAAGGACCACACACTTACATAATATTGGTGTGAAATAGCAGATTAATATGGCTGTGTTTTATGTAGTGAGAGAAGAGAATTGGATGCTTATTTTACTGGAAATGAGGCATTCCATCTTGGTTCCCAGGTTGGCAACACATTCTGCATTATAATTCTAAATCTGTGTGCTCGTTTGTCACCTTTATTCTGTTTAAAAAAATCATAATAAATTTTATAATTAACAACAAACATTTCTACTTACCCATCATTTGAGTTTTCTTTATCAACATCATCCTCAGAGTTATCACATACTTTTATACATTTTGTTGGAGAACAGCCTGAAAACACCAAAATGTATGATATATTTTTATAACTTTTTTTATTAGATGGTCATTTCTGACAATGAAACCACTAACAAATACATATTATTGTTATTTAAATTAAATGTATGTATATTATCTATAATAAATTCACCATATTATGTCCCAGTGTTTTAAGAATCAACTGATGAGTGTTAAATAAAACTGACCACAAACTAACATTCTTGGAAATTGTCTCAAATATCCTGAACAGTGAAGGTAAACAGCATCTAAGCCAGGCATTACATAAATTACATGTTGGCACTGCTACAGATCATCCCCCTTCCAAATATTTCCAGGTTTGAATTTCATTTTAAAATATCCAGTGGGTGTCGGGTCGCAAAAGACGACAGATGAAAATAAAACAGATAATGGGCAGCATCACCTTCAAGATAATATCTCAAAATAATAAAAACAATGGCAAATATCTACACCATGAGGCAATTTATGGGGATGGTCTATGTTCAGCAGTGGACTTTTGGTATGCTGCAATGATGAATTAAAAATATAATCAGATAAAAAATAGTATTGAGTTAATAATACAAGAATTGCAAAAAAGGAAAAGACTAAAGATTTAATAGGATGGAATATCTTCTCTTTTCATCAGCTCATTAAAGTTGATTGCCAGTTTAGGGAGCCACTTTAGAGAAAATTTATCTTAGAGATCACTATTGGCAGGCAGATTGACAATCTCAACATGTCTAAAGACCGTTGGCAACGTTGCCCATCACCGATCTGCATATTTTATGACAGACATGGGACGAAATTAGTTGATAGATACACTTGCAACATCAAACATTACTACAACAGCATCTATAAAATCTAAACTTCATCTGTAACATGTACAAAATCTTTTTTGTAACATAAATCATTAATGCTTAAGGCAAATGTGCCTTAATATTTAAAACATATCATCATACATTTCATTTATTCAGCCTATCAAAAGTTTACGGCTGAACACAGGCATTATCTCATAGAGAGGAGATATTTGCCATAGTTGTCACACTAAGCAGGTTGTTCGGAAACCAGTTTTTTATTATTTTGAATTGTTATCAGGAAGATGCTGCTGCCCACCTCCTAAACACCTTACCTCCACTAATAATATATGTTGCTACCAAACTTTTAATAAATGCAAAAGTCTAATAAATATAAGATATCATTCATAAATGCAAACCATTGTTGATATCATGTTCCAGGTCAATATCATTTTCATTTTTGTTGGTTTTTGATTTTCGTTTTCTTTTGTTAACATCATTAGAATAGAAACTATCATTCTCCACTTTCTTTGCATGAATATTTATTTTTTTGCGAGGTTTGAAAGGAATGGAGGCTTGAACAGTAGACGCCTAAAAAGAAAAAAAAACTTAGTCACACAATTAAAATATGATTTGAGTAAAATGAACAAACAGCTAAAATTTACCTGCAAACAAAATGTGTGATTTCTTGAGATTAGTATTTTCAGGTTAAGAAAACAACGATATAAATGAAAAAAATGTTTATTATCTAAATAATATATCTGCCATACGCTTTTAATTCAACTTAATACAAGTCGAATAAATAGATACAATACATTAACATAATTAAAATAAAATAGTATGCATTAAAAATACATGTAGATTATAAAAAAAATGTAATGACTATAATTAATCTTCCATTAAAATGGTATAAAATCCTATTAGTATTTCTTTTATAGTCTGCAAAAATATCTTGACACACCATTTTTCATATAAATTACTGTACTGATTAATTATATAAAACAGCTTTACTACTTTAACATAAGAGAATCTAAAGTAAAGTTAAGAAGAGATGAAATACAATCTTAAAATATAATCACAAGTAGTTCTATTTCAATAACCAAGCTATATAAAATAAAATCAAACACAGTAAGTACATTACAATTACTGTTTATCTTTGTTATTGAAGTCATTCTGGTTCTGATGAGCCATATTCGACATATTTTTAAATAAATCATATTGTCTTTGTGCTTTAAGCCATGCTGTTTGCATTTCCATTTGATGCCTTAGTAAATGTGTGATACCAGCATGTGTTGAAAGCAGTGGCGGTTGAGTTAAATAATCTGCTGAAGAATTGATACTGAGATTAGGTTTCATCGTTGGAGTTATAGGCTGACGAATTCCAGGCACTTTTCCTGGATGAGTCAATGGTTTCATTGACTTAGAAGGCCCTGGGGAAGGTTTAGGTGATTCATTTTTATTTGCATTTATATTTGACAACTGTGTACTTGTTATTTGATTTGACTGATTGATATTTGATTCAACTGAATTATTACAAGATTGTTTCTCTTCTGCTATAACCAGCTTAGGAGATGAACTTGGAGAACGAGTTTGTGATCTTGGTGAAGCCTGTGCTGTATTTGGAGAACTGTGAGCTGTTATTTGGAAGCCTGTGTTTTGAATTGTTGTGCTTGAACCACTTGATTGCTTCATCTGGTTAAGCTTATTATTGCTTGAAATTTCTTGTCTAGCTGATGATCCAGCAGCATTAATCTTCTCAAGCTTCATTTGATTAATGCCACTAGTGGATGGAACTCTTAGTTGAGAGTTACCTGTGGTGGTAGGTCTGTTTGATGTACTGGAAAACACATTACTTTGTGATGTACTCAATGATAATGGTTTTGATGGTAAGCTTTGCTTTTTTGCAAGGTTAGCAATTGACTGCATTGTTTCAAATGCTTTTGTCTGTTGTGGGCCTAACTGACTTTGAATGGTGTGGGGAGTAGATAAATCTAGAGCGGCATTGGTTTTATTTTCTAAAGAAGGCATGTTACTTGAAACTGGTTTGTTGCTTGGACTACTGAGCTTGTTTACTGCACTAAATGCTTTAGGGGTTGCAGGTACAAGTTTTGGAACTTGGGCTTTATTTTTTGGTAATTTAGGTTTTTTATCTGACTGCATTGACTGTAGTTGCTGTTCAAAAGTCTGTTGAAAAGTAATGGGACCTGAAAATGAGCCACTCTGCTTGCCTAATTTTGTGTCAGAAATAGGTTTAAGATTAGGTATAGGACCCTTAGTTGATAATTCAGAAGATTTATTGACAGACTTTGTTTGTACTGCATTTACATCAGTTTTATTTAATGTACTAACTTTAGCATCATTACTGCTTTCAGGTTTATTTACTTTCTTTGGATCAGTTTCAGGTAATTTTAGTATTTCAATATAATTATGGACTGGTGGACTTGGTACCTTGTGCGCAGATACATTACTAGCACTAGAAAGATTCTTATTTATCATAACTTTTTTTTGATCTGATACAATTGATTCTGTAATGCTTCGGTTCTCTAATTTTTGGTCTGTTAATGTAATAGACAATGAAGATGGTATATTAATTTTACAAGAGTCAAACAATGATTTCAAAGGATCTCCAGATGTTTGATTTGTGTTAGCTAAAGATAAAGATGATTTTACTTGTGACAATATTTTACTTCTGTCTATAGTTGGGTCACTATTATTTGCTAAAAGATCCATACGCACTTTATTAACAGGTGGAACCTTAGCTTGAAAAGATGCTGAAGAAGCTATTGTACTTGGCTTTAAGTCTGGCATCTTTTTAACACCAGATTTTGAAGCCTCAGGTTGCTTTGAACTAGATAATTGTGTATCTACTTTTGGTATTTGAAGTTTTAATGGAGAAACAGTTTTTGGACCTGAAGGTGGTTCAGCTGGAGATGTTTCATTAGGCTTACGTTTAGGGGAAGATGTATTTTGTGATCCAGAATTATTTCTCTTAAGACCTGAACTATCTGACCCTTGAGGTTTTGTTAAAGTCAACACTTGTTGCAGTTTTATTTCTTTTGGTGATATGGCTGTATTTATAGATGAGTTATTTGAAACTGAAAATGACTGTAGGTTTCCTATTGTTTCAGCATGACCTTTAATCTTTTCCGTATTAACGGGAGATTTCTCAACTTTCACTGTATCTTTTGATAATGGACCAGAAGGTAATGATGATGAGGGTGAGAAATCAGGTACTTTAGTTTTTTCTAATTCAATCTTCAATTTCTTAATTTCTGGTACATTTGGAGATATCTGGTGTTTCCTCTTTAAACAATCATCACCTTTGGGTAAGGAATTTTTTAATGAACTTTCTATAGCATTTATAGACTCTGCTGTATTACTCTTAGTAGGAGAAGTTTTCACATTAAGACTACTATTTTTAGCTGTTAATTCAAAAGAATTCAGAAATTGTGATTTTTCAACCTCATCATCATTTTTCGTTGCTGGCGATGACAAAGATTTGTTAGTACTAGGACTGTCAAGAAGATTGATATCTTTTTTCTGACTGCATACACTACTTTTGTTTACTGTTTCTATTGTCTTTTTTGTACTACTATCGTCAGGCATTGGACTATCAGTCCCAGAAGAGGCTTCTGACCCTTGCTCATTTATGTTTGGTGCAGGGCTACTGATACTTGTATCCTCTGTGGATGTAGGACTTGGTTTGCTATCAGGAAAATGGGTACTTTTTCTATTAATATCAAATAACCTATTGCGAATAGCTACATAATCAATGATTTGATAAAAGAAGCGCATGGGCTCATTCCTTTTCCAGTTGTATATATAAGCTATGTCCATTAATGTATAATAATCTGGTAAAGGTACTCTTTTGTATAGAATATCAATAGCAAATTGGGTGCTATCTATATCAAATTTCATACTAAGAAATTTTTTGAGATGGCTTATATTCACCACAGCAGGGCATTGCAAATATCGCCTTGTAGATGCTAAAATATTTTGGGGTTCATTACTATCAGATGATTTACTTGAAATGCTATCAGCATCAGTAATATCAGCATATTCCAATGAAAAAGATATAACATCTTCAGGACTAAATATAATTCTTTCTGTGTCTTCACCACGTTGCTCAGGAGTAGCTGAAGCAGCTGGACCTGGTCTTGAAGCATAAAATTGTTGTCTTCGTTCCATTTCCTTTTGAAAGAGACCAGGAACTAATTTATAAACAATATCTTGAAGTGCTTTGTCCAATTTTATATTTGGCTTTGCAGAATTTATCATCATTTCACAAACTGGGCAATAACTTTTCACTTGTAAATGCTTAATAATGCAACTTCTACAGAACGAATGTAAACATTCCACGATTGTGGTCGCATCAATATAGTAACCTCGACATAAAGTACATGTTATGTGTTCATTAACTTCTCCTAATAACGTTCGTTGAGGAACCACAGCACTACTATTATGTTCTGCCATGTTCACAATTTTTTTGTCGGACACCTTATTAGAGGTAACCATTTTTAACGACACTTTCAACGTCAATCAAAAACACGTAATGTAATTATCAGCATCGCTTATCAAATATACACTATTAAAATTTAGTAAAATTATTTACAATACACCACACATTACTAGTAAACACAAAGAATCAATAAAACATTTTCAAATGTAAATTCAGCAGCTCACAGTCGAGTCGACATGATGCATTTTAGTTAAGTTGGTAACACTGCATTGTTCCAAAATAATTCGGTGTCCCTATTTCTAAACAAATACGTACATATCTAAATAATTTTAAGCTTAACAATATAAACAACATGAATGGTTTAAGCATTTACTCACCATGTTAAATGCAGACTTAAACTGGATGTAAATTAATAAAACAATAAGTTATTTCATGAAGACAATTTTTGGCGCGAATATTACAAGACGTCATGCACACCTGCTTATGTCAAATAAGTTAAGTTTTTTTTTTAATAAGTGACAATGACTACTGAGTCCTTCGGTAGAAAATCGAAATATTAAAAGTATTATTACTACATTATACAATTTTTATACTATATATTATGTGCATTGTATTCGCAAAATTTTTCACTATATGCTCGGATAGTTGAGGACGATAATATGTCAAGCTGCTCAAAAGTTAAAGTTAAGTAAAGTTACAGCCAATATAGCTATAAAAGTCCCACTATTAAGCACAGATCATGGACGTACTCTTATTATACTCTTTGGACGTACTATACAAACAGGACTGAGTCAATTAAGGTTCAATTTAATTACGATATTATAACCGCGACAAAACGAAACAAGATTGAGAGATAGTTAGAACCATAGACTTAGAATATACTGGCGTATAGACCGACATAGTGTGCAAGGTAAAAGAAAATTCCTTATGGCAAAATAAAAATGCAAGATAGAAAAGGATAAGAAATCTCAAGACTCTGTAACCAATTTTGAATGATAGGTCGGCACAAGTCGGCACGCAATAAATAAGCTCTTAGATATTTTGACCTCTCCTACCCCAGCCTACGAATTTGGAGTATATGTATAAAAAAATTGACAGACATTTTAAGGCGAAAGCGCAAGGGTAACCCGCATAATTTTAATAGTCCTACGTTTTTTGCAATTTGTAGGATAGTGTCAGGTTGTATGTTTAACAAAATATGATTCGCGACCGTAACGAGTATGTATTTACAGAATAATAATCATTATA